CCAAATTGCACGAAGTTAGCGAACAACACTCATTTGCGAACAACATAAACGAGAGATTCAGCTGGTTTTAAGGTGAGTCAGTCGAAAAACCAAATTTGTTTGCAAATGAGTGTATTTCAATGGTCTTCCTATAGATTCGGAATTTAAAAGAAGCTTCAGAAATGCTGATAATTTAAGGTACTCACTTCAGGTTGAAAAAAGAGCTGTAACTGAATGAATAGGAACAATGCATTCAAGGTGTCATTTGCCTCAAGCGTGTGAAACCAGTTTCGTGTGATTCGTATGACCAACCCTCATTTATCGTTCCAGGTAAATAGACTTGACCGTATATACAAACAGAAAAAACTATATGACACGCTTTGAAGTGTTTCAAATTAGACAGAACGGTCTTGCCGGGCAAACAGCAGTGGTTGTTTGCAATCTTGTTTGTGCGTGGGCCACAACGAAAGCCCCCGTTTTCACACCCCGCTGAGGGTAAATATAGCTGCAGGGTACGTGACACCAATATGTTTGAGACCGACCTGACTGAGAAATCAGCCGGAGCTGGAATTTTTAATTTTTCTTCCTCATCAGGTGACCGATGAACAATAGATGGCCTGAGATTGTTGGCCGATACTGTTCTAGTTGGCAATTCGCTGGAGAGTGTTGCAAAACAGTGGAATACACCACAGTACAGTAAGCCTAATGAAACTGAAGCCATAGGATGATCAGCGCGTCTCAGCTGGACCTAAAAATAAAATAGGGGAAGATGAAACAACTCTGCTGGACAAGAAACATTACGAAACCACCTTGAAGTAGTGTGTTTAGATAGATTGGGAGAATGAAGAAAGGATCGCACTCAACCGATCAATAAAATAGTTTTTCTCCAATCGTTGGATATCAGGTGGAAAAAACTTCCGAAACAAATATTTTTTGACGATTTCAGGGCCTTCCGTTTGCTACAAAACCATACTACTCAACTTGAAGCCATTTTTTGAAAAATCAAGTAACCGTCTGACTAAGGACATGTGTAATCTGTGACCTGTATGTAATTTTGATATTGACATCCAGCACCAACAGTGAACAAGAGGAAGAAAGGGAGGGCAAGGACCAACTGTTTTTTCTTAAAGTTCTGCACCATATCCATTTCTCATGACCTTCATATTTACAAAAAGTACCACCCAAGATAACTGTTCACTAAATTTAGGCTTGCTTTTGACATAGAAGTGCTGGGGCATTGTGCTGCGAGCGAAATATCCTCAGGGACAGCCAAAATTAAGTACAAGAACTCACATATTTCAAGGCATCAAGAACACCAGGTGATGGACTTTGTTTTTGGGACCTTATCATCAGGCAAGCACATATCTGGAAGTGAGATGACCATCTGGTCAGAGGGTGAATTCACTGATCAGAAGGTCCGTGGTTCGAACCCAACCTCTGCCTCTCGACTTCCCCTGTCTACGCTTGGGCAACCTGGCAGTATCCCAGACCTCGTGCCTCCTTCGAGTGGCATGGGAGTTAGGCACCGGAAGGGTGCTACAGCTGAACGATTCTATTTAATTCAGCACATATCTAGGGGTTCAGTCCATGGACAGTCCATATCGGTTCGGCGGTAAAAATGAAAGAGGAATAAAACACAACAAGTGGATGAATAGAAAAATAAAACTTCATCTAAGTGGACTAAAGGTGAGCTACAGCTCTTCTGGGTGAATCAGCCTGATAGTAGGTGTCACATAACCAAGGTTAGTTAAAAGTTCATACGAATCGCTTACGATAGCATAGTGCCGGAACAAGTGGCCGTATTGAGAGTGTTTCAGATGTCAAATTTGGATCGATGTAGATTATTTGAAGTATATCTTTGTAATGTACTGCTCATAAGGTTGCTGGAAATCCATCGGCAGCCGACGACCGGTTTCGCCCTTTTTGGGGCTCATCGGGTAGGCTCAGTCCGAAGGTATCAGTCAATCTTATGTTCTACTTGAAACCAAATTGCACGAAACTCGCGAATATACACTAATTTGCAAACTAATTTGTTTTTTTCGAGAGACTCACCTGGAACCCAGCTGAATCTCTCGTTTGTGATGTTCTCAGACAGTCGGTCGCTTGGACTAATGGTATGACCAGTCTCAACGATTTGTGACGTAGAACTTTTGACCATATTAGTAGTCACTCCAGCTTTGTAGGAAGTGACTGACGGACACTACTAGTTTAGAACCTTCAAGAAACTAGTCCTCCTCCCAAATTACCTTGCTCATAAAAGTGAGTGTATCAGACTCTCACTAGCACTAAGTGGGACTGCTGATCAGCTTAGATTCCACCGAATAACAGTGCATCATCTCTCATCTGTGAAAAGTTACGCTGACCAATAAAACCATACGCATGGAAAAAGTCCCCGCTTCTAGTTCAAAAAGGACACTAATTTCAGTATGGCGTTAGAACCGAAAATGCCAAGTCCGCTCCAAAGTTTCTGGATCAACAACACGTTACTTATGAGTAGTAATAAATAAAACGAGAAAACAGGAAAAATCGCCTAACTGACGCAGGGGAGTGTGGACGACGGTCTACTGACCGTACCAGGCGAAAAAGTTGGATTCAAGCTAAAGCACTATAAAATAACCTTGGTTAGGCACAAGCGTAAGTAAAAAGGCTCCGAGAGGAAGACTCCAATGCCTTGAATTTTTATAATGTTTTGTCTACTATGTAAGAAATAAAAACAAGGTTTTCAACAAATACATTGATTTGCATATCGATTTGGTTTTGACGGGTGTTTGTGATCTTCTTCAGTTGCGTCTCCCGTGAAAGCTCAGTTGATATGCAGTGAGTGTATTTGTTGGGAACTGTCCAATGAGTTGACGGAAGCTCCGGGATTGCACCTACCTGATGAGCCCCAAGTAACCGGTCGTGTGCTGTCGTAAGGTTTTCAGCAACCTGATGAATAGTTTCCCTTGTGAAAATATCCTGAGATATCTCGAATATCGTACCAACTGAAACATGAGGCGGCATCTGTGCAGCCAATCCAGTTGAAGAAGATCATAACCGAGCGTTTCGGTTGAGTTTCCCGTGAAAAGCTAATTGAAATGCAAATAAGCGTATTTGTGTAAGTGCAAGGGTTGTTTTCACAAAAAAGAAGGGCAGCTGTTTGACTTTCTAGGTCGTTTGGACAAAATGTTGGAGAACTGACGACCGGACTACCGGAGCTTATCGGTCAATGACGTATCAGAAGAGGTTTATGTGGAGAGGGATAGCATTTGACACATCGTTGCTGGGAATTATCTGTACTCAAAAAGTTTTAGCTGTGGTTTGATAGCTAATCAGGTGATTCTGTCTACGGAGACTACTAAAGGGTTTGATTAAAAATGATCTCTTCTGTGAGGTGTGTTCTAGTAAGAAGGGATTTACGATAAAAACGTTCGCCATTGAGCAGATGAAAGGTTTGTTCCTGCTTAGGTGTAGAGTTGCATGAATGTACCTATTGAGTAGTGGGCTTTAATAAGCAATTCTTTCAATGGAGTTGATAAGTTTACCCTAAAACTTAATTACATGTAGAATTCAAAAGTTGAGCTTCACTTGTCTCACCGTTTACCGTATTTTTCTACGGTAGTATGGTTTCGGAAACACTTGTTTTCAGGTCTTTGACCAACGGTGTCTTGCAAGTATGATGAGAATCGCCTGAAACTAGCAAATATGCGATGAGATCAGTAGGAAACGGGGTTTCGGTGAAGCAAACTCTGTTTCACTTCAAGAATACATCCAGTACTTCAAGCTTGGTACATTGGGCAATGCGTCACTCATGCCGAGTTGTTGCCTGTTGCGATGATTGCCGTTTTCCTTACCTAGCGTGCAGCGGTGGAAACCTAGAGGTGGACAGAATTTCTCATGGGATTAGGGAATGAAGGGCTTTGCGGAGTGTATGGGCACATTTGGTGGTGTTTGGTTTCCAAGATGTGGTGCACCTTGTGATCGGCTGGAGACATTGAACCATATCTGTGGCATTCAGGCCATCAGTTTTTATCTCAAGTGTGTGACTGAGAGCTGAAAGTGTAGGCACCTTGTATGTTTGTTTTAGGCTAGCCCTAGATACAGTTTCTACACCATTTTCTCCTTTCCATTATAAAACTTCATTCAAATAAAACGACATTGTTGTATGGTAGTAAAAAACCAGTGTTCACCTCCAAGGTTGCTTTCACTGATGATGACGGTGGCGAGGATATTACTTGTGACATTCTCACGATTCAACCGAAGAGGTTGGTAGACGTGATAGAAAAAAAAGTATATTAGCACTCTCTGCGCAATCTTAAGTAAACTTCCAGTCATCCCATAGCTTTTAAGCAAAATGTAGTGGCTCACGGTGACCAAACTCTTCCATTTTAAAGGTGAGCTTTCAAATGCAACAATTTGCGCCACTTGTTTAGTTGGGTTGCAGCGCTACAATACAAATTAGACTGATTCATTGAAGAAACTTCCAATGATCCACGTTGGACCGAAAAGATGAGAGCAGTTTACTGAAGTGTTGATAGTTTCGTCATATCTCACTGTTGTCCCCATTGCAGTGCCTAGTGCCGGATAAAAAATACCCGCCGACAAGGAACACAGCAGCGAACAAGAGATGGAGCACGAAAGTACAACACCCTCGCGCTATATATCCATGGGGAACTGTCTGACCTTGATCCAAGGCTGTCTCGCACTGTCTGCCTTTGATCCAGGGCTGTCTGATCAACATTCAATGGAGCTGAGGGTCGCAATAAACTACAGGAATCTTCAGGAATCTGACCTTCTTGAAAGTTTGCGTTGAATGTCTTTCGTTTCTTGCACTGCCTGCCTGCCTACCTGCCTGCCTGCATGGAGAAGCATGACATGGATGCGGTACTTGTTGTCAGAATGCTTCACCCTGGTTCGATTCCATGTCAACACACTATATACGACTAGTGATTTGTAGGCAAGTTATGAAATATATCCTGTGTTAACATTTTTTGTCCTAAACTGCATTCGAAATAACTAGAGAACGCTCTGGTGTAGAACAAGGTTGACGGAAACTCAAGAACTGTACCAAGAATGACGAAACCGGTCGAAGAAATCTCAGCAACTCTGAGTAGTATTTCTATCAAAGTAATCAATTATAATTCTCGTTACTCAGCAACAATATCTAATGATAACTGTGCGTCCGATTTCCTGCAACAGGCTTCCAGATCGGTCAAAACAAAACATGTTTCTCCATTATTGTTTTCAAAGTAATTGCTTTAATTGCTGATACTAGATTCTACTAAGCAAACTTATTGGAAACCAAATTGGTCAAACAAGTTTTTCAAGAAGCCGATGTTATTCACCAAATTCGACCTGAAAGCCTCCGTCGCATGTGTTTTACATGAACCCATATTAGATACAATTCAAGGAATATATTCATTTATATGCCTGTTTGGTTTTGACGGGAGAATCTGTCGAATACCGCCGAATCTTACGTCAATGAGGTTCCCATTCAATTGAGAATGCTGCGATATCGTAGTTTATTTTCTTGCTGGAAGGGGCGAGATGGCTCAAGTGGTTAAAGCGCGAATTTACTGACCGGAATGTCCATGGTTCGAACCCGACCTCCGCCTCTCGACTTCTATGCAGGGCGGGGGCAAGCTGGCAGTATCCCTTCCTTCTGGTGGCATGGCAGTTAGGCACCAAAAGGGTGCTACAGCTTAACAATTATTATTATTATTATTATTATTATTATTATTATTATTATTATTATTATTATTATTATTATTTTCTTGGCGACGCGTAGGTTCAACAATCCCGAATATCAAAAGGAAGAATTGGGTTCGTAATTCTACGGTACTATTTACACAAGAGTAAACAAATGTGTACAGCAAACCCCAGTTGTTCACGCCTGTAGCGTCAACAAGTTCACGAACCCGTCACTGACCGGCACAGTGCAGTGTCAACATCCGCATACCAAACAGCGGCAAGCGGAATGATGGCTCGGTAGCGTGGGTTGCGGTCGCCCCTTCATACGACAGTCTCGTGATTTTCATTGGATGTCCGATCACACGGATCCCATGGGAAAACAAGGCAGGCTCAACAAACGGTACATGAGCGCACTGCGTAAGTAGGTCAGCAGCGCAAATTCACACACATGTCAACACACAAGTGTCGGGAAGGGCTGGCCTCTGCGGCAAGGTGAGTGGCGGGTACGAATAAGCAAAACAACTGGAGATCAAAAATACATAGGCGGAGTAAGCAAATGAATGGATGAATTATCATAAGGTCAAGTTAGATTCAACAAGGAGTATTCCGTTCCGTCGAAAAAATGTCATTCAAAATCTCGAATACTACACCAAATGAAATGCGAAGCTGCCTTCGCACAATACACTCAGACGGAGGGCATCATAAACGTGATATTTGGCTAGATTCAATTGAGTCTGCTTTCAAAACTAAATAAGTGTGCAAATGATTGTACTTCGTGAAAATCGAACCACATTATTGTCTCCTAGAAAAATTCACTTCAGCTTTACAGCAACTCGATGACGGAACTGATCAAACTATAAAGTCTCACTGCCACGAAGGACTTGTACATCAATGTGCGCGTTTATTGGAATACGGTTGGTTGGGATCTGATATAAGTGGGCTTGTCAACAGTGAGTAGATAAGTGAATACACATTTGATTTGGTAATGTGTGATGGATCCAAAGGAATCGGTCTGATGTGTAAACTAGCAGTGGCCTGCTGACAGCCGTAAGCTGACCTGGGTATGATGGCATTGCAATGAAAACTGATGCGGGTGAGATCCCCCCATTTCTTTGCTTTTCAGTATGATAAGAACTTTCTTTGTACCATACAGTACGATCATATCCGTCGGGGCTGTCCAGGACGAACCATTTTGCTTGTTCTGGATGAACAGTCAGTACGAGTGCAGTCAAGGCAAATCTGCATCTGTGAGGAACTGGAGCGAACTTACCTCAACTTACGTGAACTCTGAGCGGCTCTGGAGTTTTCGTGTGTTGCTGGTGTTGCTACGTTCTTCGCAATTCTTTTGTGAGCGGACCGTTTATGCTATCGAGACAGGCTAAGTCTCGCAATGCATCACGCCTACGTGTGTGACGTTCCGTCAGATCTTGTCATCAGGTAAAATCAGAATAAGGGGATTTTCAATTCACCGGAAGTCTATTTCCACATCGTAACTTCAAGTTTCCTCGGCCTAATGTACCATTCCACATTCGCCCATACGACGAAACTACTTTGCGATTCGTTGAGTAAATTTATCGATCTAGAAAACGGTATTGAAAGTCTTACGGCTTTCAGTGTATTTTGATAATCGGAGTTTTATTAACCCCGTCGACCGCAGATGAAAGAGTAACAACAGGACATCTACAGGAGGCAGGGGAAGCGGGACACTTAACTAACAGGGGAAAAGATAGCTTTTATGGTGTACAAAAGAAAGTTACCTTTGTAAACGATGTGTTCATGAACAGTGCACCGCACATATCTGGTGAATCAGATCAGGTCCTAAGATTAGTGACAAAAGACTCGGGACTTCCATAGAGAGTTCGACTATACTGCCGCGCGCAAAACAACAGAGATGTTTGGACAAAGGTTTTGGTGGCCCCGGTTACACAAGGAGGATTTTGACATTCGTTCTAAATGTGAAACATGTGCGCGGACAAATCCACCAGCGGCTAACCTGCGAGTTCTCCCGTAGGGATTCACCAGTGAGCGTCCAAACCAACGCTCAGAGGTCGACTTTGTAGGTCTGCTTCGTATCACTCAGAGGGAACAAGTGCATTTTGGTAAAAGCTGTTTTTTTTTACGAAATTCTACGGAGCACTACTGCCGTAAATCAGGATATCACAACACTGGCACTCTTAGTATTTCACGGGCTGGTATCACACAACGGTGCCCCCGCAGTCCCATAATCAGATAAGGGCCCGTCATGTGAAGATTACATTTTTGCCGGAATATGCCGCCTGCTTTGAAGAAGCGAAACCAACTCTATGACATATCACCGGCGAAGTAACGGGCTTATCAAAAGAACTAATCACATTCTATCGAGAAATACACTCATTTGCAAATCAATTTGCTGGAGAACATCATAAACCAGAGATTCAATTGAGTCTCCCGTGAAAACCAAATTGATTTGCAGATGAGTGTATTTCTCAAAAAACAGTGCAATTTGGGTTCAAGTAGAACATAAGGTTGACGGAAACTTGGGGACTGCGCCTACCTGATGGGCCCCAAAAAGGGCGAAACCGGTCGTGGACTATCGAGGAGTTTTCAGTAACCTTTTGAGTAGTTTATTTTATGATAACCACATGGTAATTTTGAGTTCGTTCGTCGAAAGCTGCTGTATGGACAACTGGGCCGACTTTGTCTCAGTGTCTAATTGCCTACGTCCACAATCGGTTTCAGTAAAACATTTCGAACATAAGTATTAATGCCAACGGCACGCCTAAATCTCACCAGTTGTTTTGAGTAGTCAGTGAAAAGCTACGGATTGTTTACACACCATCCAAGAAACACCTAGGTTCAGCTCAACTGCAAGAGAAGCATTACGATGATGGCCATGTCAGAGATCCCACCTTTACCAACCGCCATCATATTCCTGCCAAGTTTCATTTTCCACGTCATTCGTTCGCGTCTGCTTTCATACCGTGTTTTTGATAGGCGACTGTAACCAGCGCAGAACTCTACTCAACTCTACTCAGATAAAACCACTGGCGTCGACTCACCTCCCAGGGGCTTACCAAGAATCTAAAACAGACTGCTTATTTCCTGTTGAGCGCACAGAAAAAGTGACCAACACCATACTACCAAGTCATATTAGGAACACTGGAGACATCCTGTTCAGAAGGGAGCAATCCAACGCAGCCGGACCCCTCCTGTATCAAACGAAATTCCTAGATAATCACGTGCCATTGTAGGTCGTATAAAGTAGTCTCAGTATGATAAACGGAAGCCCGAGATTGCTAAAACCCCATATCCTGTCAGCAGGCAATAGGTGTTATTTCGTGCAGGCTGCTAGATTTAGGTTTGTTGATAATTTCCGTGTTTGGTGATCAGATGTTGTACAGCTGTTGATTGGTGGTTCTTCTCGTGCGTAAGTGGGTATTGATTTACAGCAGTTCAAATGAGGTTGTCGATCAAAATCAAGTGACTGGCTCATTCAGACTCAAAATGGTGGAAGATGCGGCGGTTGTGGTGCGCTACCGACCTCTCAAGCCTGCAGAAGCATTTTTTCTACATGGACGTCCTTTAGTTGACCCACATAGACCGCGTCTCTATTTGTCCCGAAGATTCGATTTCCTACTCCTTGTGGGCATTTTGCTTAGCTTTATGGCGCTCCTTGCACATGTGCTCTTGGTGATTCTCACACTACCAGCGACTCCAAAATCGTCCAACTATGTCACATCGCAGTGTGCCAACATGGAGGGCCTGTGGAATAAGGAGAAAAATGTTCTACGATTTTGGGCTGTTCCTTATGCAGTACCGCCGGTGACAAAAAACGAGGTCAGTTTTCCCCATGTGATGTATGATATATCGGCTAAGTATAACCTCACCGATGGTGGATATCGTTGGTTCAAGACCATGACCGTTCCAGACACGGAATACTGTTTTCTCAGTTACGACGACCGTTGTAACTTCAGATTTGGTCAGTGGACTTGTGTGATGCGTCGGCCAAACAAAACAACTGCATGTGTTGAGTTAAACAGTGAAGGAAACGTTGTCGGCGGTGCAACAGAGAATTGTCTTACGTTAGACATCGCAAGTCCAGTGTTCAAGGGCACATTGTTACCGGTTATTGCGGTCATCACAGGCTTTCGATCGATAAAAAATCCAACGAATCCTTTTGGGACAAACGAAGCCGCATACCTTCCCACAGATGAGGCTGTCTTACGATTCGGAGCGATTTGGGTGAACGTACACTATCGCCTAGGTCCATTCGGATCATTTTATGACTTCAATACTCTTGGAAAGACAGGGGAAAAATCGCATTATATGAATTTCGCATTACGAGACCAAATGGCTGCTCTTAAATGGATTCAATACAATATCGGTCGCTTTGGTGGAGACGCAACCAAAGTGGTTCTGTTGGCTCATGGATCTGGAGCGACGGGTGGTCTGCAACTGGTCAACATACAAGCTCAGCTAGCTGCAACCGAACCTTGGTTTCGTGCGGCTTGGCTCGCGAGTGGAGCCGTCAATTGGTATGACGACAATAATAGCAAATGGCAACAATTTTACCCGTTTAAGCTAATTGGCGAGTTGATTGCATGTGACCACGGAAATACCCCGAAAGTGTTACAAAACCTGCAACCGTGTGCAGCCGAAGTTCGACGAATTCTTATGGAGTGGGATTTGAATTCCTTGGGGTCAAAGTTAGCGGAAGTTTACAAAGAAGATAGTTGGGGTGCAAACTTGTGGAGTGCAAGAAAGTTTGAGGAAGAACAGGTGAAATCGTGGTTTGCTGTGGACAAAGAATTTGATCAAGGAACTCCAAACAGTTGGTCACAAGCGACCGTGAGGAAAATATTCTATGAGAGTAAGTTATTGATACCCTTGACAAGATCTAACTACTTCATAGTGATTGAAAACTTCTGGTAAGATGATTCGGGTGGTACTGGCTATCTATTTACACGGGATATCTTGTTTGGAAGAAATACCTCACTCTCGATAGATGGACCGATCACACTGCACAGGTTGCTCTGACTTGGCCACGTGCTGCATATGCCCGTCGACCGACTTCTTCGAAGGGTTCTGGTCGGCAAACCACGCGAAGGGTGGAAACAAGCCAGAGACGGTCAAACGATTTGGCAGCGAAGTATAAAAGCCATTTACCTGCAAACTCAGCTGCGCTGGTCATTACCGTCCTCCTGGATGGGGACCCCGAGATGACCCACATCAATGGTTGAAGATATTGTCATATATGACCGACTCACGCTCTCAATGACGCTCGTGCGTCCGAGCGTCTTTCAATGCATAGCTCCCTTCCTAATCCCCACTTAACAGTCCACTGATAGTCCTGTATTTACACGCCAATGTATCAGCTTCCGCCTCGAATACGAAGCTAACTAACCCACCTCCCCAAATCATCGGTGAATGAAACTGCGGCAGCTACACTCACTCTACGACAGGTACACTGATCTTACAACTGACACTGATGACAGATGATGATGATGATGATGATGATGACATATATTTCTAGAATCTTTAGCCATCACAACATCGATCTCTGAAAAATACACACAGAGGTCGAGGTAGCTCCGTTATCAAGGCATGAGCTTACCGAGAACCCAATTACGGTGTCTCAGCTTGGGCCAGCTGGCTTCCTTTGGATTGCGCGGTAGCTATGCACCGAAAGGGTGTTATGGCTGGATGACTGATTTAAGATTCATTCCAGAAGGACTATCAACGTCTAACTAAACATTGGGTTGTATTTTGATTCTTCGTGCCAAGACTGCAAGCTGATGCAATTTATTTTCAACCCGTATCCCGCACTGTATGAGGATAATTTAATGGCACACGTCGGAAAGAGAGACTTAGTGAATCTTCCTATCTATGCCACTTGAGATGTGTAATAGTTCAGTTACTGAATGTTGACTGAACGCACACCCAAGCTTGGAAACTTTGGACGGCACTCTCCTTTATAGCGATAGGAGCGATCTCCCCACGCAATGGCCCGCGCAATTATTACAGGAATTGTTTTGGAATAATAATGTGTATAACAACGCTGCTGCCTGCGGCGAAGTGAACTTAGTTTTTTTCGACGAAGCATGCTACTCATGAGGTCCTGAAAATACTTCGACAACTCACAACTGGCATCACAGTTTTCAGAGCTCATCAAGTTGGCACTTACCCCGAGTTCCCGTCAACCTTACGTTCTAATCGGACATCTAACTGTATGCAACTGGTGGAGTACGCGCATTTGCAAATTAAGTCAGTGTTAACGAGAGGCTCTACTGAATCATCTCTGAATCCCTTGTTATATTATCCTTCAACCGAGTTTGCTACCCAAAGTCCACCTCATGTTCCAGACATCGGTCTGACTTCTTACCTTCACACGGGAAGTTCGACCCGACAGCAGATTTCAACCTTTGTGGGATGCTCGACTGAAATGCTTGTTGGGCCTGTCTGCATAAACTGAAGCCTGTGACTTAAAAGTACATGTTATCCGGCTTCAAAGGGTAGAACTTATCACTCGAAGTGCAGTCAAGTGCGTTGAACGTCAGTGAGTGTAACTTTAAAATCCAAACATCGGCTGATGTATGGGCATGTTCAACATGATTCAATCGATCAGTCAAACTCGGATGCTGCGACTCTAGTTAGCTGTGCCGCTTATCTGCGCTTGCTGTACTCAGGGACAAACAAACGCGAAGCATCCAAACAGATGGTAAAGGCCAAATATACGGACTAGCGCCGTCAAGTCTCGTATTCCGTGATGCTAGCGGGAAGGCTGAAGCATGGACTCGGGGCATGGCTAGCTCGGCTAAATCTGCTGCCTAGATGACACCCTGTGTGCCTTTCCGAGGCTTTGACTTATCACGTAAAATCCACCTAACCGTTCCCTGGTCGTCAGTCGCGATTATCATTCGCAGAATAATTCGATCTTGACAAGACAGTTGGCTGTAGTTAAACTAAATCTCCCGTTTACAGTACATGCAACTATGTCATACGGGCGCCTGCGTCCTCCACACATCAGTATCTATTCTGTCGTTCCTGTTCCTGTAGCCGATGCGCTCAGCACAACTGTCAGCTCAGCTTAGCGTTGGGTATAATCAGTGTCTATATGTACGAGTTTCTTTGTTGTCAAGCGTTTCGCGAACTATGGCGGTCATATCTGATAACAAATGTTCGCGTTGGCTTGTTATCCTATGATGACAGAAAAGCGCAACTAAGTAGCACGCAAAAGAGGCGAAATGACCGATTGCAAATATGTTAGACCATCGTTTGCGTACATCGGCTGTAATTACAAAGTAGACGTCGTCTGATGTGGCAATAAAATGACGCCTTCAGTAGGGCAGCATGAGATCTTAGATATCATAGCATATTTTCTTCACATAGCATAATACACACAAGGTGAGCTGTCGAATGGTTTTCAGCAACCTCACGAGCAGTGTGTAGTTTAAAAAAATATAAACTACGATATCGCAAATATCATACCAAATAAGACATTAGGCGGCACATCCAGATGAAGAAGACTACCATAAACGAGAGGTTTCACCAGAGCAGCTGACTGGTTTTAAAGTAGCTCATAACGTTGACGGGAAATTAGGGTATGCATCTAGCCAGTGAGCCTCAAAAAGAAGCCAAACCCATCGTATGCTTTGCCAAAAACCGTTGCAAAACTGTCCGGGACTTTACTAAATTTGTTGAATTTGTAACATTTGAATCACGTTTACAAGCATCTTTGTTCCTCTTCAATTTTTTGCAGACCAAAGACAAGAGTCACATTTGGCAGCGCTGGTTTTCTCTTCCATGCAAAGTGAATACGAGGGATTTCCCAGCGTGGCTAATAGTGATGGAACCGAGTTGCGAAACTACCTGGACCAAATAACTTTGCCCGGTCGTGAAAATACCTACGATCTTCTTGTCGAGGCTGAAAGCGCCCGACAAAAGGACCCAGAAGCATGGCCGCGAAAGCTCAATCCGAAAGAATACTCATTTGACGCACTCTCGGCACTCAGATACACATGCCCACAAGCCTGGCTACTTGGTCGCTGGTTATTCAACTCTTCATCTACTGATGTTGTGAGAACTAGGTTTTATCACGTCTACCATCACGAATCACCCAGATATCCATATACGAACGTACCCGGCGTAATAGGAAACAAGCGGCTCCCTTTTCATGGTTTGGATATGCTTATTCTAACGGGGAACTATCAGAGGCAACAGGAGAAATTTGACGCCTACAGACGTCATCTTTGGGACTTGTTCAACAATTTTGTCTGGGATTACAAACTTGATTCAAAGTGTGAAGTTACAGAAGACCGTAGTGAGTAATTGATTTATTTGAAAACTATTGCGATTACCACCTCCATTCCTACGGTTGGGTACTATTCACTTACTATGACAGTTGGGGTGAAAAGTACAGAGTGAAATAAAGGAATGTGCTTTCGGATGTCATGCAGATGTGCACAACAACATAAGAAAGAGGTTCGTTTGACTCTCGTTCCAGAACACTTGCAGGCAGGTGTTCCATACTCCATAAAGTTATTTCAATTGAGGAAAAGCATAAACATGGGTTTCATCGGGTTGTAGCCAGGCCCATTCTACTTTGATGGTAGTGTGAGGAGACTTAGCAATTCTCCGTGAATTGCGTCTATTAATTGGAGCCAACTTATGCTGAAAAGCCGAGAAGTATCGTATATCCGTTTCATCCTTACTGGGAATCGTTAGCAGTGCGCATCTCACCGAACTCCAAGGAGTTTTGGACCCGCGAACACCCGTGACTCCGTTCAGCCACAAGCACGTGATTAGCTCACATTTAGAATATGGAGCCGTTTATCCTTCAATCACGGGATCCACATCACGTGATCACACGCGCTGACTGACTTCTCGAGTGACAACTTCTCAGATGAAATTTTCGCTCATTGGGTGAATTTATTCGTCCTCTGAGCTAACTGTACATGAGTGACGTCATGAAGAGATTTGAGTAATTCATTTGGGATTTCGTCTGGTAAGTGAAGCCAATTTATGTAGAAAAGCTGAGAAACACCATACATTTGTACTAATCTAATTAGGACGAGCATATCCTGTCTAAGTGCGAGTTAATCACATTGCAGATGAGCAGGTAGTGATCGGACAGCCAAATGTTCAACTACTAAGAGAGTTCGCCTGTTCAAGATCCCCTGGGGTTTCGTGAGATGTGCACTGCTGAGGATTCCTAATAGGGATGGGACAGCTGTGCAGTGCTTCTCGGAAATTTAGATTTGCGCCGCTCACAGGGCAAAGTTGCAACGGAACATTCTAATTTTTTTTGCTTCCACTTTCAATGTGCTTTTGGTTCGGATTGAAAGCAGACCCTTTATGGCTGGAAATTCGCGAAATACAGTCATTCGCAAGGAAATTTGGTTTTGCGAGAGACTCACTTGAAACTGAATCTCTCGTTTAAAGTGTTTCCAAGCAGCTGAATGTGCTGCACCAGGTCGCCTCACGTTTCAGTTGGCACGATATTCGAAGTATCGCGATACATGCATATACGTAATGCATTACTCATAAGGTTACTTTAAATTATTCGACAGCTCACGACCGGTTTCGTCCTTGCTTGGGGCTCATCAGGTAGACGTAGCCACCGAGTTTCCGTCAAACTCACTTTCTACTTGAAACCAAATTGCATGAAATTAGCGAACTACACCCATTTACTGTCGAAGAATTTTCAGCAACCTTATGAGTAGTACATTACGTATGTCTTGAATTGCCTTTCATGCAATCCATAGGAAAATGAGTAGAAATTCAGTTAAACTACCGAAATATCCATCCTCTTTTATGGCATAGTACAGTCAAATAAGGCTACATTAGAGTAGCGGTTCAAGTCCAGAGGGAGGAGCAACCTAAACACTGCGATATATGCACAGTTCAGTGGTCCTTTCTGAGGCCGATCTGTCGTACAAAGGATAGTGTTTACGTCGAGTGTTCTTTTGACGAATGAAAACCCAAAACCTGGCCAATTAAACAATAAATTAGGAAACTGTCTACCGTGAGTCGCATTTGAGGAGAAAAAACATATTGGAACGAGTAGATTAGTTATCCTATACGTTTGTTCTTCCTATGCTGGATCAGGCTTTTCCAAAACGCGTAGGTCCCAAAAGCATTCTAACCTCCATTTACGTAGATAGATACTGTAGTCTTTGAATATTACTTTACTTTATACTTTTCCCCGACCCTGTGAAATTTGAGCACAAGAGTTTACAAACCAATCAAGTGAGAATATTCACATTTGCTGAATCACACCGAACATTTCTGCAAACTAACGATTCCAGCCGAATATCTTGAGGCTCCAGTTCTGATATAAAATCTCCGTTATTTTACAGGTACTATGCAGCCGATTTACTGCAACTTTGAAGCTGCCCGAGTTTTGTGATCTGTTTTTATCCCTCCAGCATTCATTCATTCTTACTGAGTATTATTCCCAGTGTACTTCAGACGGCCCATGAAATCCTTGTCTCAATGAGATATAAGCCGTACCATCATCATCCTCCCCCTCCTCCTCCTCCTCCTCATCATCATCATCATCAGCATCAGCATTAGCATCATCATCATCATCATCATCATCATCGTTATCATCTCCATCATCATCGTTATAATTACTATTGTTATTAGTATTACTGGCTGTAAAAACCACATACCTGTCGTACAGTGATTGTAGCTGCGTATAATTTCAGCGTATCAACATAGTACTGGAATTCAACAGAGGAAACTGCAATCGAACTCACACAAACCGCATATGACACTCTTTCTTAGTCAGATTTACAGTTCCCAATATTGGTTACGCAGTTAACGCATCTCGTTCAGTCGAGTCCATAACTACGGATGAACATCAAAATAGAAGGCAATGAAAGCTGCCAGGTTATTCATCTCAGTTCTGTCGTATTTATCTAGTCTAGCCACTAGGGAACCGAGGATTGTAGAGGGGACGCAATTTCGATTCAAACTTTGCTGTTTATTTGCGCTGGAAATTGGATTTAACCAGCAAACAATTTAAGCTTCCTACTGAAGATCGCAACACTCCCAAGATCAAATGTTTGGATCTTACTCGATTTTGACTGTCACATTTCCAATTTTCGTTCTCTTTTCTTCAGAGGAGCAATCTGTCACCCCGAAATTGGGCTGTCAGCTAAGCGCAAACGGACCGCAGACCACGGGGCCTCCCATCCTTCCAGTTTGCAGAAACATTGATTGGGCAAAGCAGTTTGACAATGTGGCAATGTTTGAGTGAAACATTTGTGGAATTATGAGGTGTTCGTGTTTTTTATAATCGTTCAAACAGATAAAATTGGGAACGAAAAGTAGTTGTGAATTATTAATACGACTTTTCCAGCAACATCCAAGGTCTCGGTTTTCGTGGAAAACACTAAAATATTTCATCATCTTCTTTGTATAAACAACTCTATCACGTCCATTAAATCCACACACCACAAATGATGGGTTATTTCGAGAGCTACGAACTTATGCTCACACCGACGGGGTTCAAATGCTTGCCCTCCCGTACTTAGACAAATATTCTGACTTGCTCATATCAAAGCAGAACGTTATTGCATTCGAGTTCTGCTATTAGAGAAGCTCATCAGCAGTGCTATCCCCTAGCCATGCCGGACTTCTGACGTCTGACAAAAGAGGCCCGTGTGGGACTTACGCTCCTCCAGCGAAAGATGAACGCAACCGAACCGCCAGGTCCGTGCGGCAAACGTTTTCAGTTTGGTAAAGTGGGACTGATTTCCAAGCGGCTCCAATGATGACCTAATAACCATCGTGGTTGTGTTGACCGATGGACCCTTCTATCTAGATTTCTTAAGGTAATGCCAGGAACCTAGCGAAATACACTCATTTGCAAACTAATTTGGTTTTGCAAGATACTCACCTGGATCTCAGCTGAATCTCTCTTTTGTGATGCTTCCAGGTAACTGAATGTGCTGTACCAGGCCGCCTCGGTTTCAGCTGGTACGATAGTTGGGATATCGCGATGCATGTATAAGGTTGCTGACAATTTGTCGACAGCAAATGAGTGTATTTCGATAATTTCGTGCAATTTGGTTTCAAGTAGAACATGAGATCGACGGAAACTCGGGGAATGAGCCTACCTCATGAGCACCAAACAGGGCGAAACCGGTCGTTGGCTGTCGACGAATTTTCAGCAACTTTATGAGTAGTGCGTTACAAATAATGCCAGGGACGTTTGAAAACGGATGAACGATTTTGACTGTCGCGTCCACAGAGCTGTCAAATTTGTGTACAAAACCGATAGATGCTCCAGTCAAATCATTATTATTATTGATATTAATATTATTATAATCATCAAGTCGTCACCATTCATCATCGACAGCATGATATCAGTGCTGAGCACTAATTCTTCGCTGTCGTGCAACCATAATTTATTTGAAAGCCTCATTGTGAAAAGAATAAAAGCGAATGGGAAAGGGATTCGATGCTAGCTTACTGCTATCATTCCAGAGGGCCTCCACCTCCACACATCCACTCAGACAATCTGGATAGAAACTTGCAACAAGAACGCCAAAAACATCGATTAGCAATCATATCTCACAGCGTCTTTAATCAGGCGTGCTGAGGATCACTCGGTCCCCATCCTGGATGGTGAGTAGCACCGACAGCACTCAAACGTTTCGTAAGGGGTCAGCTCTGTGTTTCCGCCACTTCGAATTGGGCACCGAAAACAAGACTCTGACACACGATGCTTCAGCATATGCAGTACATGACCCAACCAACGCGGCTTCTGGTGCACAACCGAAAACTCACTTTCTACTTGTCTCGTTAAGGATTCACCGTATTACAGACGTTGAGGGATAGTTCTCCCAGCTGATCAGATTCACCATGCAATTTAGACTATGCTGTCCCGAAAAAAGGACATTCAACCACGAAGTTTTTCTGCATACACATGAAATGTGCTAACCATCAGGTATTCAGAAATTCCACCATTGCTCCAAAGTTCTGATCCAAGCTCACGCAGTACCGATAAATCCTCACGAATGCGGAATAACATCATTGATAATGGCTGAATAAAAATCCACGAAAGAGATAAACTGTTGTTTATTGTTAGGGCATCATCGCTGCATCGTTCAAAACCGGTGATTGATTTGTCGGACCTGATTACATCAAGGTTTCCGTCAACAGACCAGAAATTTGCTGACTTTTTAGCTCCGCGTACCCTTTTTGACATCTAATGTAAGACCATTCTACCCTTTGCGATTGTCCACCTTATCATGAAAGCAGTCAAAAATATTCACGCAGGGTTTTTATGATGACTACAGTTCCAAAGTGTTGTTGAACGAGAACATGAGATTGCCACCAAACAATCCTTTGGAGATTGCCACACCTGATCGATAATCAGGGTGGCACGGACTATCGAACTATGAGTCAAGGGCCAGCGTACGAGTCATATGCAATGTGGTGCCAACTCACATCACAAACTAGGGCAGTTGGGCCTGCTAAATCCTTCTTTCAAACTTGCAATTACTCAACAGGAAGAACTGCCCTCTGTCCAGAACTCCTGAAATAGGCCTTTCTTATATAAAGGTTACTGATTATATACAACAACAGAACATACTAAACGTAGGAATGCTGCTAAAAGGCATCGAAATATACGGACTCCTTTAAATCATTCAACTGGAATGGTTCGGGAAGGATTGAATGATTGGTCAGTTCAACGTTGATGCTTTCAAGTGACGTTTCTGATAACACAGAAAGAGCTGACGTTACCTAATAATGATTGCTTTGAAGGCTGCCGGTGTATTTTGACAGATGACCTTGGGACTTTCAGGTGATACTAGGTAAGTCACGTCAAAAGATTCGGCTGGATTAACACGATGATTCGTGTCGACCAGTAAACTGCGGTCGCGATTCTTGTCTGCTTGAATTTGCTGGTTCTGCTATACAGTGGCACCTGAGCAGCTATTCACTGAGACAGACGTCCAGTCGTACGATCCACTCAGTTTCCGCCACCTTCCCAAGTCACCTCATCTTTTATACTGGTGAAAGAAAGAAGGCTTTTACCGCCGAGTTGTCTATTAGCAAACACCAATTGAACCGTTACGGACTAGTGGACAGAGAAGCAAAACTCTCATTTGCATCTTGTATACAAAAACTGAATATCCATATTCTCCTTGAACTCGCCTTTCTGAACTTTCCTGGATAAAATTGACTGTCACTCGAATGCAAGCAAATGCTACAAAGTGACTCTACAAATTCTGTGATAGATCCCACTTTTCAAGAGATACAAAGCGGATTTACGAGAAAACATACTACTCGCATGCATCCCCCATCAGTAGTATCACCGTTACACTGGTATTGAATAAACGGTCGCCACTGAAGTGAATTCTGAACTAAAGGGCACAAAATACCCGAGGAGTGGGAGGTCACTGTTTGTGACTGGAAAACTTTCGCTCAGTACTGCAAGTCATTTGTCCATCCAAAGTTCTAACCACCCAAATAAAAGCTTTAGTAATGAGTCACAGTATCACAGAACACCAAATTCACCACATTATTTCACATTTATTGGAAAAAGAGGGAAATACAAGCACGACTTTATTCAGAACACCCTTCACTTTGGGAGATCGGGCGTGCACAAGCTGCGCCAAGAACTTGTTTAAAACATTCGGCGATTTTCCGCTCCAAAAGTTTCCTACTCAAGAGTTTGTCTGGATAACCGGTAATGGAGTCACCCAGGTGACACAGTTTTCCGCCAATGAAAATGAGGCAGCTGCCAGTTCGTACCGCAGGTCCGTAGCGCTGCTGCAGCAGGGGTCGTGTACTGTTTGCTGTTGAGACGCAGGCAAGATCATAACTGAGGAAACGATACCGAGAGAAGGCGGTTGTCAGGGATCCACAAGGACTCCTGGTACCCAGAGCGTACAAAATCTCACGTGCACAGAATGGTGCATAATGATGTGTGTCACGTGGATCTTGACAAGCTGTCTTGCGACGGAATGGACCGGCAGATGGAATTCGTTTATGTTGTTCAGTGTATAGGCGCTTGCAGAATGAAAGTGTTGGGTTTTCTGAAAATCTGTTGGTGCTGCAAACAGGAAAACAAACGGGATAGTCTGGTTTGTGATGCGTTACTTTCCCTGACCAAATTAAACCATATAGTTGTTCTAAATGTGAAGAGATCTGAAAATTGTAACAAAAGTTTTTCTTGTAAGTGAAGCCAATCCGATCTGAGGTGTACTGTGAAACTGTTTCATCCAAGAGGTTCGTCAGGTGCACGATAATTCCCAAGGAAGACAAAACAGGTGTGAAGTGTTTTCAATTTTCCGGTAATAGACTGGTCGGTTTTTAACGACTGTAAATGGTCGTTGAGTTGAGTATTTTTAACAACCACCTGACAAACTAACAGCCATTTGAATGTGTTGGACCATGCTTAGTCCTGATAATGAAGTTAACTTCTCAGTGGAAACTTGTAACTGGTGGTAGCATCTTAGTCTACCACAGTAACGGCGGATAATACTGATAAGGCATGCCAACAGACTGCGGTTTTCTCGAAGCTCCACCCCGCGTCTGATGGAAGGTGAGGTTATTACGGAACCTTATGGAATTGCTTTGCAGCGTTCGTTTACAGTTTCGTGATAGTCAATGAATATCCACGAAAGTTCAAGACGCGTGAGAATGTTCAGTTTTTTGTGAATTATGTGCATATGAGGCGTTTACTTTCCTATCCATTAGTTTGTAACTGTTTAGTTGGTGTTTGCTAAGGCGAAAGGCTTTCTTCCTTACACCATGAATTCGTATCAAATTAACAAAAGTTGTTTGCCTTCCATACAGCACCACAGAAGTGGATGTAACCGCAGAGGCTCATTTGTACGCTAAAGCCCTCACAGACCAGAACGTGTGAGTAGGTTGAAACGAATATCGGTAAAACAGGTCTGTCCATATTTGGAAATCATCAGACTGATTGAACAGTATGAAACCGTATAGTAAGTCTGATGAGTAGATGAAACATCAGTACGCATCAGCTGATGTACAATCATTAGATAATAATTCTACGTCTAAAGCAGTTCAACGACGGGAGTATAATGTTCCGGATCCTTTCTTTGCGCTTATAGATAAATATGTTATTGCCAAAGCAGGCTGAGCCTTGTGTACTGCGGTTTCGAAGTAAACAACGTGGGAAAGTTGCGTGGTACTACTTACCTCGAATCGAAAACACTCACTACAATGGCCTGGTCTGGGCGAGCCAAGATATTGAGGAACAAGTCCAGTTCTAGGTCGGTGAGTAAAGGCAGTTCCGTTTTGCTGCACTGACAGCCGCAAGAGGTAATATCTTGCAGCCGAAGTTGGTGTCGAGAGAGCAGATTGATCAGCCTGGTTTGTTGCGCATTTGGGGAGATTTCATTTGTCCCTTTTTTGCAGAGATTATCTGAACAGTCTTCAGTGTCCTCATATAGATGCAATCTCTGAAGCTTTTGAATGCATGCTCGTAGCATCTTTGGACATTTGACTGGGAACCACTGTAGTCTAGCCTCTTGCACGGAATGAGACGTCTCGCCGTGCAGCAGAGGAGAGGGTCGATATTTTGTAGGCCCAGTGGGCAATTTCGAGTGTGATCGTCCATCCCATCTGGAACTGATATTTATTGGGTTGCGTAAACAAAACGAACCTTCTTTGCTGCCTTAGCTATTTAAAAGCCTATCTTGTCTACCAGTTCCGTGTGATATTTTGTCTGATTCTCACCTAATAAAACGTCACAAAATACCCTTCCTGCCCTCAAAAACCGGCGACGCAGAAGAAAATGTTGGGGAATAATTATTCTTGTTACCTGACGAGTTTTCAAAGGTGACACAGCGATTATCTCAACACATAAGAGTCCTCGTTGCAGTTTTACCAACTTGAAATATGCTATTCACCCTGACGTGTCAACAAAATGGTATCAGTGCTTTTCGGTCAACTGGGAAATGCTAGTAGCCAATTGAACCGTCATCGTTTCGGACATGTTTGACAAACAATTGGCGGATTTATTTCTGGGCATCGTTTCAGTTTTGATGCAAAACTTTCGTCAGGTCTATGGAATGATCTATCAGGCTGATGAGTTTTAAGACGGTCAGAGAACAAGTTGGTGAGTTTTCTCAGGACTGGATGCCTTAGTCAGTGCTGAGTGTTCGTCGCTTTTCTGGTCACTGTAGATGATCTTCAATGAAGGCAGATTAGTTATGAGAGAACTGTCATGAAGCTGAATCAGGATTTGGGGGCCTTGATTCTTCGGTCTAGGGAACCTTACTGGAATAGGTGTCGTTCATAGGTTTCATTGATTTGTATGTCTTGGGGGGGGGTGCTAGGACAATTGGATTAGGGCTAGGAGGATTAAGCGGACCTTGCTGTGTTTGGGCCTCGTACTTTAGACCCAGGATATTTGACTGATAGCCGCACTCCGCCTTGTGTCATTTCGGCTGATGTGAAACCGATTTATAAACGCTTTCGAGTTCTCCACCCTCTATTCTATTCACTTTCGGATGCTTTACTAGTCCGTGTGGTGTGACTGTTAGGCCCCCTTTCAAAACTTCTGCGTTTCCCAGGTCTATTCTCTATTGGGCTTCCAGTACACATCCTACTACCGCCGAGTCTTCAACTATCATGTGATCTTCATCTACGTTTCTTGGTGGTCCATCTATGCACCTTTTATACTCACCGCATCTGGTGGGCAAGTCTCTGGCTGTGTGATATATGTAGGCCTTCATGCAATGACTACATTTTGTCCAATATGAATAGTCCCTATGCTTTGGGTGTATCAATACCAAAAGTAAAGATTTTCCCTTCTAGAATGCTACTCATCACCCTTCTAGTGACTTCATATATCCCTGTTTTTTATTGAATCACTGCTGTTTGAACCCACTCCTTGATGGGTCTTGGTGATGATGTCCGTGTTAGTTGCCGTTTAATAAACCCAGAGGGTTTCCGCTGTCTTGAAGCTGCGTTTTTTTATTTCAAGTTGTTCTGATGTTTGGTCGGCCTCCTCAGTGCACAGTGCACTTATTCTACTAGGTGTTGCTGGGACCATAATAGCATATGATACCCTCGGATGTATTGATGATTAGTTTAAGACCGCAACAGTTTCTCCTCGTTTGCGGTAAACAGTCTGATTTAGTTCCTCCGTCATTTTCTGTCACGCAAAAGTACGCAAAGTGGACTCTAGCTCCATGCTAAACTTTGTGTTTGAATTCAAATTGCTAAGATATTGATAGAATTTGTTAACCTTGGCAAGCTTGGTCACAACAAACGTGTCATTTGCGTAACACCAGAAAATCCTCAGCAGACACTCGAGTCTAGCTAAAGCTTTTCGTACACGTACGTATACATGTTTACCAACATCTGGGATTTCGGATATCTTGAGAGTATGCAACCAAACTAAGAGCAAATAGATGGAAGTTTGGGCATAATTTTGCGCATTCATCCATCTCATCTACAGAGGGTTGCCTTCGCTCTTGCACCATTGTGCTTACCAGTAGAACCTGGCTTTCTATATCCACAACGTCCGTCTTAGGGAGATTCGTATGCATCGAGTTGATATCAAAACTTAAGAGACATTTGCCTAGATCCGACAGAAACTCTGCCGCTAAATTATTTTGGAATACCCGCTAGAAATCTGACTAATTCATTTGGTGATAAACCTGTGCCTTCCACTGTTGGTCGTATGGAGGCATCTGCCCAGTTAGGTTTAGATAACCCACAAAGTCGTGATTGGATTGCACATTTTGGTGTAACAAACACCATTTACCTTGTTTCAGATGACTTACCACCGATATCATGCACCGCCCAACTTCAACCTTACTCCTATTCCTTATTAACATGATCATCATGCTTCTATTTTAAGCAGCTGGGTGTCATCTTGCTTTCCGTAAATGGACACTCTTATTCATGAGGACAGTCAACTTAGCCTTACTTACCTTTGTAACTAAAATAATGCATACGCTTTGTAAAGTGTCCAAAGCTCCATGCTTCTTTGGACCTTGTTGGGACTCTAAGACAGTACCGGTAATTTACTCGCTATCAGTTAAGGAAACCTTTGAAATACGGACTCAGTACAACGGATTATCCCGTTTTCATGAAACTTACAGCTGAGTTCAACCCTGTCTCTAGCAGACAAAGCTATTCCTCACTTAAAGGTCAATCTCATGAACGGACCACACTGCTGCCCCGCGTGGATTGACGCCTAGCAATTGGGAAGGTATCCGTCTGACTACACACCCAAACCTTGTTCAGGAAGGCAGAGACACAATGCAGAACCACAGAACTACGGAATAAGAGAGAAAACCATCTATTCAAAGTATTCCAGAACAATGGATATTCAAGAAGAGCTTGAAGAACAAAACAGCTCAGCAACAGCAACAGCAAGAACAAGCCACCAGACGGGTAGTCCTGTCTTACATCAAGAATACATCAGAACTGGCAACCAGATTGTTGGCTCAAAAAGGAATCTTCTTGGCTCCCAAACCGCATGCCACCCTAATGAAACTAATCTCTAGACCGAAGGATAACCGAGACGAAACCAAGGGGAACAATGTGATATACCAAGTCAACTGCAGCAAATTCTACGTTGGACAAACTGGGAGGAAATTATGCACACGAAAAAAGGAACACAACACGGCCGTCAGGAGACATGACCCCCTGTCCTTGATATCTATACACAAAGACCAAGAAGGCCACAAATTCAATATGGAAAACGTGAAAATCTTGGTATATGGGAACACGAGGCACGGAAGGGTATTTCCGGAAGCGTGGTAGTCCACGGCGGATTCGATCAACCGTGCATCGAACTAGATCCAATTTATGCAACTCTACGTGCAAAAAGACCAACATCTCAACTGGAACACTCAAGGAGGACCGAATATTGGATTCAAAAACAAATAAACAAGGAACTCCTCGGAGTCAAATCAATGAAGGTCACAAGCTGGAACTCGGAAAAACAAAGATCACTCCGGCATCGACCAGATTACGACGGCAGGGGATGCCGACTTCAAAGGTCACGTGGGCATCGGCGAATGAGGACACAGGATAACAGAGCAACCAATGGAACCGCCCGACCGAATAACTAATCGCGATCAAAGGTCATCCCCTGCTAGCAGCACGTATATTGACAAGCGAAACACTACCCGAAGCACAACCACTAACCCACCGCTACGCACCACTAATATATATATATAATCCATCTCTGAAATATTTCTCTCTTGAGTAATTTCTAGCTCGTGAACTTTAACTGTAATTCCAACTGTTTGTCCTCATTTTAGATCATTTTTTCAATGCACTGAGGGTCAGAATGCAGACGATGAGCAGCTTTTATTGGTGTCTATCTTCCTGTAAAACAAACCACGATCTAGAAGGCATCTGATGGCTTGGTATGTCTTTGTGTTTCAGGCTCGAATTACTAATCCTAGAACTTGAAACTGTTCACAAGTTTAGACTCCTCAAAAATGTACTTTGTAAGTAGTTCCCAGTTCACTTTCGCTTTTGAACACTCATTTCCAAATACGTGGACAACACGAAACTACAGATGCAAGAAAAGAATAACATACTTGGTTTTCTGACTGAATGCCGGCGCCTGACTTGAAAGCTCACTAGCTCTTTCCAAACTGGGAGTTCGTCTTTGATACACATATGGTACAAGCCTCTTCTGACTTTCAATTCCCTGGGATGATGAAACTTCTCGTTTTTTCTCCCGAGTAAGCTCAGTAAAGAAAGAAGAGATCGTTGGATCTGCTTGCCTTCTAAGAGCATGGCATGTTTGTACGCGCCTGATTCTTCTCGTTTCAGTCGAAATGCTTTGTGTCGTGGAATTTTGATAGCCAGTGGCTCTTGAGGCCTGTATTGAGAAAGTACAGTAGCTCACATTTCACAAGCGAGGTTAAAGTGTTGTCCACACTCCTCGGCATCCTCCAACTATCTTAGAATCAATTCCGAAGAGAGCCTAGCTGAAGAGTCAGATGTCACCTTTCCTTATAGCAGCCCATCTTCGACGGGTAGAAAGCCTTGTGTAGGAATATCAACACTGGATGACTGTTTTATCTATACGCACAAACGAATTAATGTTACGTTCGTATGAAAAATCGCGGAACAGCCAAATAGACGAACAAAAATATACTACTAGTATGGAGGCGCAAGTAGTCAAGGGTCAACAAAGACAACTCCAAATATTAAAATGTCAGGGTTAGAATTTGACACAAAATTGTGAGAACACCGTTGACATCCTTGAATATAATGCTAGATTTACGCTTGCTTGCAACCTTTACCGAATAGCTTGCACAGAAACAAGTGTTTCCTATTAGTAGCTTACGAAACTACGAGATACGTACACTTTGACGACGAGAAATGTTGAACAATAAAGCGAACTTTTTGAACGAAATAGTGTTGCAGCTGAACGTCTGTTTGTTGGACAGTTTGACAGCGTTACTTCGAAACCGTGCATGCCTGTGTCTGATCACTACTGCACACAACAGTGACCTCGTACAGGGAAAACTTTTTGAGCATCACATTGTTCATTATAGTGAAATTTATCTTTCTAGCATGAGGGTGCGGTTTCAGTGCTATTTGCCCAATTCCTGACTACTTATGACTAATAAAGTAGCATTTGAAAGTTCGTTTTGTCCGTTGCACTTTAATTCGAATAGCACTATGCGAGCTGGGTTGGTTATCAAACAGAATGAAGCATACCAAAACGGAAGGGTTCTCACACAAGTAAGTTGTCAAAAAAGATACTCATCCTAGTGAAGTTTGTCTCAAAGCACCAATGAAATTGACCTGCGCAAACAAAACACTTGGGAAAATAATTTGCTTTTTCGTACTGCTTTCGTTAAAGGATACACTGATTGGTTCAGAAATTCTTGCCGCATTTCATTTCCACGTTGTGAACCACCCACGTGGATGCAGTTCACCATAATAATGATAATAATAATAATAATAATAATAATAATAATAATAATAATAATAATAATAATAATAATAATAATAATAATAATAATAATAATAATAATAATAATAATAATAATAATAATAATAATAATAATAATAATAATAATAATAATAATAATAATAATAATAATAATAATAATAATAATAATAATAATAATAATAATAATAATAATAATAATAATAATAATAATAATAATAATAATAATAATAATAATAATAATAATAATAATAATAATAATAATAATAATAATAATAATAATAATAATAATAATAATAATAATAATAATAATAATAATAATAATAATAATAATAATAATAATAATAATAATAATAATAATAATAATAATAATAATAATAATAATAATAATAATAATAATAATAATAATAATAATAATAATAATAATAATAATAATAATAATAATAATAATAATAATAATAATAATAATAATAATAATAATAATAATAATAATAATCGTGATCAT